ACTTAACTTACAGAGTTTTCTAACGAGAACGTGTAATTATGTAAGCATAACTCGGACCAGAGAACTTCTATTTCTTTGGATCCCTGATGTCGTATGGCCTCGCTAAAGTAGTCGGGAACTAGGAGTAAAAGAGGCATGCCATACACGTTGTCTAGGTGTTGCACCTGTTATCGGGGGCGTTAACATAGCGTTAACATGGTTCTAGTCAGAGCCTGCCATGTGTCAGCTTTTGGTTGGGTTGCCGGTGCCCACCGCACACCTTGTTGCACACGCCTACATGCGCACGAATTCTTTAGTTTTTTCAAAATTTCATATCTTCTTTGTACGAGCTCTTGTTTATATCCACACATAGCCATCAATAATTACTACAAATTTCACTTAGACTCTGTCGCTGAATTCACAATTTATTTTTAACTGTCTTAGATTGTTAAAGTCCGTGTAAAAATCATAACTCTCTCATATGATCAGCATTCTCCACTATCTTTATATTGACATGTTCCTATTTACGAGATCTTCGATTCTCGTTTAGCTTGTTTTGCCTAACAATCGACCAATTTTAATTTCGGTTTCTGAGTCGCACACAGTTATGCTGAAACCTCAAAAAATCATAACTTCCTCATACGAAGTTAGATTTAGGCGTTCTTTATGTGTCGAGTACACTTTTTGATTACTATGATTTTTTTTATATTATTTATCCTAAATAATCTTTTATTTTTAATTTCTATTTTAGCCTTATTTATTAAGTTTCAACGTAAGGTTTTACACATATATTATACACACCTAATATCTATGAAATTCACATGAACACACACACACACACACACACACATATATATATATATATATATATATATGAATAATTCACTTTTATTTATTCATAGAAGATTTCAATCGCTGAACAACATGAGTACAAATTTGCAACTATGCCTAGCGGGAAACACGTACGCTACACCTATTATATGATATGGTAGATAGACATGGTTTCAAAGGTACTATTGTTTTTCTAAGAGCATGAATAACAATACTCCCTCTTTCCTTATTCCCTATGAACATATAACACAATACATATTATGTCTTTGCGTGTGAGATTTTTCCTGTCTCCTTTTAAACACTTAGGTTGTGTTTGTTGTGATGTATTTGGCTACATTCCTTTGTAATTGGAATTGAATTCTAGTTACAAAGTGTGTTTGGCTAGGTTTTTATAAGGAACTCAATTACTAAATGAAAACAAAAACATGCCTTCTCTAGTGCAATCGAAATTCCTTGGCCATGAGAGAAGAATTCAAATACAATGCGTGCTCCATAGTTTATTGAGGCAAAAATACGCCTTTCCTGTCAACAAAAAATAACGCAACCCTAATTGCACATCACTACTCGCTTTCTTTCCTTGAGCCACCAACAAGCTCACCTGGAGATTCATCATACAAGTATGTGAATTCTTTCTAATTTCTTCATCATCTTGGCTCATCATACAAAAATACCCTGCCATAGTTAACACATTCATTAATATTGCCACACCTAGCTAATCAGTCCATTCCAATGGGTGATTCTGATCGTTCCAATCGCTATCAATACAATTTTCTAATCAATTTTTCATTGTGTTCTGATATTGCATACTAGTCGCTGATTTATGTGTTAGGGAAATTGGCGACTCTTGGAAAAATTCGCCACCGACACTGTGACTTCTGATTTCTTGAATCGCTTCAGTGTACCACCGACCCCAATCCAATTTCACATTAAACCTATTTTTAATTATAAATACCTACTAGTTCAGGGAATATTTTCCTCATCAGTTCATCAATGTCTCTTCCTCACTAGAATTCTTCTTTAATTTCTGTTTTTTATCCTGAATTTCTAAGATGGCTTTTGGCAAGAAATATGAAGAAAAAATGACATTGTTCTTGTTTTCCTATCAATGACCGTGTTTTTTATGTTGTTACTTGAGTTTGTTACAAGTTATGTCTCGACTTAATTTAACATGTAGACGTAGGTTAGGGATAAGGAAAGTTGTTATGGCATATTGGAACCAAGTTATGGTATCAGTTGTCTATGCAATTTGATAGCCAAATACAAAAGCAATAGACCACATATTCTAGGTATAGCATCAAATACCAATTGATACACAATATTGCATATGTATGCTTGTAAGAGTGACACCATGTGTTTATCACAACTTATTATGAATAGGAGATGTTTTGCAAAATTGTGTTGCATGCTAGAAATATTAAGTGGGTTAAAAGCAACTAGATATATGAATGTTGATGAACAAGTTGCCATATTCCTTCATATGATTGCCCATAATGTTAAGAATCAAGTCCTTACTTGTCATTTTCATCATTTAGGGGAAACAATTAGTAGACTTGTTACTCGAGTATGTAATGTGGTGATAAGATTGCATCCTTCTTTGCTTAAGAAACACAAGTGGGTTTGGTGATGATAGTGTTAATCGATGTGGAACAGTTGAATCACCTGAGGTTTTGGATTCTTATGTAAAGGTATGTGTAATATATATTTTCGATCTATTTTTATTCTTGTTCAAAATAATAATTTGTTGTTATATGTGATAGGTGCATAAAGGAGTTGAAAAATGGAGAAATAAATGTCTTCCACATTATGATGACTTGTGCATCATTTTTGGAAAAGATAAGGCTTAAGGGAATAGACTCGAAGATTGTAAGGATATGTCACATAATGAAAATGTGGAAGAAGAATTATAACAAATGGAAGATGATTTCAATGAGCAACGTGAAGAAATTTCACCCACAACAAATTGGCAAAGTGAGGAAACTTCAACTGCTAGTACTAAGACAAGGAAACGTAAGTTTGATCCTTTCATTGAGGAAATATCTAAAGCCACCGCGTTACTGGGCAAAGATCTTCGGGAAGCATCAGCTACCATGTCTCAATCTTTAAATGCCGAGGTGGAGTTACAAAAGAAAACTTCTATGGTGACTTTTGAAATTTTGAAGATTCCATTAATGGATCAAAGGGATAAGTTCAAAGCAAGTCGAAAGATAATGTGTGAACCGGAAGGAGTGTTGACCTTTTGGAACCTGGAAGGTGAAGAACGTGGATCTTTTGTGAAGCTTATGTTGGAAGAATGATATGTACCACGTAGTATTTTTTTGTGTATCTTTTTGAGATACTTTGATCAATTTTTTTTTAATTTTTTTTAATTTGTGATATCGTGGATATCATCTTTGTTCCAAACTTATATCACATGTACTTATTTTGGTTTATCATTTTGGAAGATGTATGAAAAGCGTTCTAGAATGAAAGTTATATTTGATTGTTGGGTTATATATGTTTATAATCGTTATTAAATTTGATTGTTGGTTTATTTAGAAGTATGTTTTTATGTAAATTATAAAGCAATGTAAGAAATACAATTAAAGGGTATTATTGTCAATTGACATAATTTCTTTCCAATTCCTTCAACAGATCATCAATCCAAACAAAAAAAAAAATACATGGCAATGGATTTTAATTACAGCTCAAAATTTGAGCACAACAAAATTCAATTCAGCAAAATTCAATTCCTTTATAATTCAATTACATCAATCCAAACAGCCTCTTAGGCTTATGTATACTCACATATGTCACATACTTGGGTTTGAATGAATTACTTGAATTCAATAACATTCTTACATTCGGGTGGATAGACCATGTCCCAAGTTGTGTTTCTTTCAGTTGCCTCCATATCGTGCAATTCTTTATTCATTGCAGCAACATCATACGCAATAAACAGAAAATGAAAAGGTAAATGTATGATAAATATCCGCTAATGGTTTGTACTTCTATGAAGGAGTTTCAATAGATGAACATGGTGAATAGCTTTTATGGTGAAGATGAAGTTGAATTATTATTTAATGAATCTATATCGATGTGGCATGGAACCGTAAAAATTTGGACTCACATGTTTTTGTTTAAGTGGCACAAAATCAATAATATCACTTGAGAAAGGAATAAAATTTACCCATCTGTTTCTTTCCAAGATCATCTGGCATCGTCATTAATCACCACACCTATACTAATTAATAATCATTTTGATAATAGAACCTATAAACTTTTGGTTTTCATACTACAACAAATAGAAATACATTTTTTTATAATTTTCCATTATCTTTATTACATGTAGGTTTTACTAAAGCTTATATGCGGGATCAAACCACTTCAAGCTTCATATTGTGTCTTATTCATAATGGATTTCATAAGAGAAAGGACAAAAAGACTAATCATGTCCTCTACCTCTACAAAAAGCACCTTCCTCATATCCTCTACCACCAAAACTTTAACCCCCTTTATCTGGAAAACTTTTTGCTTGTTATGTTCTTGTGAGCTATTCCACCTTTCCTCATGAGATTGTAAGCGACTCATTAATTCATCAAATATATAATTAGACTTGCCATGGGCTTCCTCAGGATGAAATGTAGATGTAAGATTTCACTAAATTTTTAAAACAACCATTATTCGGTTATTTCCTCCTAATATCACTTCCTTTTGGTTACAATTGTACTCATCTGAGATAGATAATCTTTTAAAACATCGATACCTAACACCTGATACTAGAAGCCCTTTGGTTTCAAAATATACTTATTCTTAGCACCCAACATCCCCTTTCCTTTAATCATTTTCCCTTGCACCCAGCACCCCCTTTTTAAACATCGAGTTCTTAATAATACTAGTAGTGAATTTGCATCTAACAAGTGAAACAGGTGAACTATAAAAAAGGAACCAAAAAAAAAACTGACTAGGTGCTTAATTAACACTACTTACTAGTTACTAGCGTTTATTAAAATTAAAAAAGTAAAATTAAGATATCTGTGAAGCAAGTGAGCAGTAATCAATCAACAAAAGTATCAACACACCCACTCAAATATCAACACGCCCTCTCCTAATAAGTTCAAGTACCATTCCAAAAACCAATATAAACATCTTGAGCATTTCATTCATATATATAAAAAGTTGTGAAGCAACTAAACTAGAAACCGAAAAACACCATACGCACTTGCTTTATTCTTCTTGCATACTACCCATGAAATCCAACAGTACTGAAGGTTAACATGAACCCAGTGGATCATTCAAAACCCAAACCCATGTTGGTTCCAGTACTGATCTTCATCTGCTGGGGCTACTGCTCCTAATGTTCCGGAGTTCCAAACTTCTCTTTCAGCTCCATAGTTGATGTATCCACTACCATCGACATAACCACTGTAATTCCCTTGGTTGTAGCTACTACCAAAATCCTCGTTGATAGTAGAGGATTCAACGCCTCTGCCAGTTACCGGATTATGGAATGAGTTCATGAGATCATGAAATCCACTGTTTTCTGCAATGCCGAAGTGCTGGCTGTCAAAGAGAGAATTTTGCTCTTGTGGGATGATAAATCCACCATAACTAGAGGAAGACATTGCATACGGTTGCACCATGTTAGAAGGGTTGCTGTTTCCAGAAGTTGAGCCATACATATCCATGTTTGCAACAAGATTAGGTGTACCAATAGGAAGCATGCTAAACCCTTGAAATTCACTGGAGGAAGAGCCTGCAAAGCCTTGTACAATATTAGAAGTGATGCTAGTTCTAGAATTCTACCAAGTATACTCAAAAGTTGAGTGTTCCAAAAGTAGCGTTAGCTAGTCGCATATGATGTCATATTAAGAAAAATTGAGTTATTAAGTATCATACCTGGACCTGAATATAAGTTCGATCCTTCCACACTTCCATAATGGCTAACATCTCCCATAAAGCTGGTATTCTCAGGGTTCACATCGCTATATTCGATATTCATTAGATTTGTGTAATACCCCATCCCAGTTTTTTCCTGAAATTCATGTTGGTTTTGTGGAGTTGATGAAAGAGAAGAGATATTATAAGGAATCCCTGCCATGTTTAATCCCCATGATGGGTCATTCGTAAGGCTCTCATGCTCAGTTATTATAGGAGACAACCGAGACTGGCTGGTCTGGTTCTGGCTGGAGGAAATCTGAGGACCTAGATGTGGTGTAGTGAATCCTATGTGACTGTTGAACGTTTGTAGATGTGACATAGATGAGTCTATTAGGTTGTTGATGTTGTTGTTGCTTCCCATGGCAGAAATTGGTAAATATGCCGTAGTTGACCCAATAAGGCTATTGTTGTTGATATTGGTAGTGTTTCCTATCGAGTTGTCTCCCATGTAGGATGATGGTAGATATGATGTAGTTGAGCTGATAGAATTGGTGGTGTTGTTATTTCCCACAATTGATGCATCCTGAAGCACTTGTGCTTCACAATAATCCTGGTGATGATCGAATCTGTGAGAACTACAAAATATAATTTAATTAGATATTGACAAACAAGAAATTATATTGTAAATTCAAATATATGGATGTAGAAAAATATTGCAACACCAAAGGAATGGCGACACCTAACAAAACATGAACTCGCATATCCTTATTGGGTCTCAAGCATGGAAGTGCGATATATATAATAAAGAATTTTCTTTTATATCAATGGCATAAGACACTTGTAAACTTCTAAACTAAATCAATACAGGAAACCTTTATAAATTAATAGCTAGGCATAAGACCCATGATTTATATATATATATATATATATATATATATATATATATATATATATATATATATAATATATATATATATATATATATATATATATATATATATATATATATATATATATATTGTAAATTCAAATATATGGATGTAGAAAAAATCAATTTTAATAATTCATTATTTTGCTTTTTTCTTATAAATCTAAAGTTCTAAAATATTTTGATATATATATATATATATATATATATATATATATATATATATATATATATATATATATATATATATATATATATATATATATATAAGAACTTTAGATTTATAAGAAAAAAGCAAAATAATGAATTATTAAAATTGATTTTTTTTTTTAAATTTAAATAAATAAACAAAATAAACTATTGGGTTTTAATTTGAGAATTTTGAAATAAGAAGGTAACTCTATTAATAAAATTGATATTCATTTATTACTACATTTATTGTAACTATTTTATTATTACATTATGTGAAATTTATTGGAAAACCCATAAAATGACATGTGGAAAAAATATTAATTCAAAATAACCACAAAATGACATTTGACAAATTAAATGAGAGTATGACATGTTGCAAAAAAAAAAAAAAAAAAAATCATTTATTAGAGTAGATGTTGAGACTGGGATATTTTATTAATTTAGCAATATATTATTATATTGATAAATTAATAAATTATTAATTTAAAGAGTTGACTTATATTCGTGAGCAACTCTCAAATTAATGCATCGACCTTCAAATTTTTTATGTCCGTTCACTTTACATGTTTGAATAAAACAGAAACAAGGATCTTCAAGATTCTCATGTACATTCACACATTAATGAACTTGTCAAGTTCAATATACATATGTCTAGATTGAGCACTATAAAATGTCTAATGATAAATTTTAAAATCACATCAACTATGGCTTCTAAACTAAAAAGTGTTAAAAAATCAACGATACCAGTTAACAACGAAAACTATTATGCAAGTATCAGAAAGATCACCAAGGATGCACTCAACAAGATTTGGTGAAGTGGGAAACTTTCAATTTGAAAGTTAGTCAAGGAACAATATCAAACTCAATATAGATTTGAAGTTAACAAAAAAACAATTGACTATAGATTCATTTTTAGTAGACAATTCTAGAATTTTGGAATATTTTAGTAATTATTAATTTTTAGTTTTGTTAGGACCAAAATATTTACACTGAGATTTCAAAAAAAATATATTATTTTATTTATTTTATCGATTGGGATCCAATTTTTATGGGTCCCAAGTTGGAACCAGGCAAGTTATTAATTTATAGAGTATTAAATTATAGAAGTTCTACTGGACATGACTAACAATGTTTATGGGCCATAAATAAATTAAAGTGCTCACATATTATTTAATAACATCAACATTAAATATTTCTACATGTCTAACAAATAGCAATCTCTCTTTAAACTCTCTTCAAATGGAAAAAAGAAGAAATTTAAAAGGAAAACCATAAAAGTTATATAAGGCTGTAAATGAATTGTTTTAATTAGTTGCAAACATAACATGAAAAGATAGACAAGAAATCAACTAGAAGAGAGTTACTGAACTAGATTACATCAACCTTCTACTTCGTTAATGACATTTAATTAGTGAGTGGTAAATGTATTTATTATCCTTTTTATATATTTGTATAGTATGTATCTGTATATATTGATTGCAATATACGTAACCCTAATTAACAGGTTTCCACAATATTTAACAAGGTATGGAACCACACAATTCTAGGTCTACCCTAAAAATAGTTGGTATTTTTTTTCCAGTGTCTTCACTGTCGGTCACTACCCACTGTCATGATTGCATTGTTGATCGCCACCGCTTGTTGTCGTTTTGTTGTTGCCTTCCTTTGCAGTAGAATTGTGGTTCCCGTCGTTCCTTCACCTACCTTCTCATCTAAAGTATTAGGTTATTGGTACATTACTATTCTCCCTACCAAAGTTTTTATTTTTTGTTATTTTATGCCTCTATTATTATTTGTTTCTTCGATTTTCTCCGGATATATATCTTCCTCTGCATCATCGAGCACCCTCACGACTCCAACAACCAACCAATTGGTTTTTGCACTTACTAATGTATGCTCCTAATTTAGTTTCAAGCTATTTGTTGATAGTTCAAAATACAAATTATGGAAGCGTATCTTCTTAAACATGTGTAAGAGTGCCAAACTACATGGTCATCCACTCCTCAAGATGATGATGATGAGGATTGGGAAGCAATTGATTCCCAGATTAAATTCTAGTTCTACTCTACATGTGATGCTAACCTATTGCAGATTATCACGAATGCTTCAACTTTAAAACCAATTTCGCAATACGATGAAGGGTTCTTCCTCCATTACCGATTATTGTCACCAATTAAAGAATTTCGTTGAGGAACTTGAGGATTGTGACTGAAAAATTGATGAAATTGAGCTTGTCATGCAAATACATCACGATCTTACACCTTCTTATCATAGCATTATCGATTCCATCGCCAACACAAAGCCATTCCCCTCATTTCTTGAGGCTATTAACATGCTACTTCTCCATGAACAATCGTGAACAATCCATCGATGGAATCAATGATGCCATACAACCCTCTTCAACTGTGTTATACTCCTCCACTCACACAAACGGAAAATCAAAAAATAAATTTAATAGGGGTAAAAACAATGGGCGATTTGGTTCTAAAGGAGGGTAATACTAATGTCTCATCTACCCCGAATTTGTTTTCAGGTTCATAGGATGTTACACAACAGAATCAAGGTTCTTTTGGGCGCACTCAATACATTTGGACCTGCTACGAATCAGTCACATGGACTCCTTGGTGCTCCTCCTGCTTTCAATCTACTTCTACAACATGTTCAACCGGTTGTACGTCACTCATCAGTAGATTCCACCTACTGCTCTCGGTGACCAAAGCTTCGGTCCCTCCTCTCGCGCCTCAGCAGCTGTTGTCTGACACTGCCTTTGGCACCTTCCAGCTGACTCAACATCCTCATTACCTCAGAAAAAAAAAACATCGTCAATCCTCACTACCAACTGCTTACACAACCTCGCTTGGTCCAAATCAACAACATTATTCACCGCAGCTACATACTTCTTTCAGAGGTCTCGCCTCACAACACCAACCACACCAATTCACGGATCTCGCCTCCATTTTTGAGGCAATGTCTGTCCAACCTCCACAATAAAATAATTACTACATGGACTCGGGAGCAAGGTTACATATGAATATCAACCAAGGTATAATATATTCTCTAAATCCGTGTAAATCTGAATTTATTATGGTTGGTAATGGTGTTGTTCTTCTTGTCAACTACGATTGGTTATCCGAAGGTCATCGGATATCTTCAACCTTGCCGCCACTTATGATATATCTCATATACCTCGCTCTACTGCCCAGGCTATGTGTGACGCTCATTGATGCTCTTAGCGAAGATCGTATTGTTGTGTAGGGTTTCTCTCAGAAGCCTAGTTTTAGATTTTGATGACACTTCCAGTCATGTTGTTAAACCAGCCACCATTTGCATTCAAAACGATTTTCTTGTCTCATGGTATGTCTCTAGGAAATCAATCATGAGATTAAGGGGAATCATCGAGATAAGAAAATCGTTTTGAACTACAATAAGTTGGAAACATTTAGCTCTCCAAACCACCGATTGTGGTTTAATGGGGATGTATAAATTTGTAATTTAGTTATTGGTCGCACACTCTAGAAGATTTCATGATACATCATATATAAATAATGAGGACGGTAAAGTGTGGATAAGGGGAAAGGGTATTGTGTTGGGGATTCCATTACTTGTAGGAGCCCAAAATATAATGAGTATTAGGATCAACAATGATATAACTCTTCCCATAGGTTGGACTTGACTCAAAGAGGCCCAAATTTAAAGTTATATTCAATGGACTAAAAATATGAGCCTTATTTCTTGAAAAATCATCCAGAAGTGCTTTACATAACAGACTTTGTTGGACATACAAGTGCTCAGTCAAAGGGTCAATGTTGGCAAGAGTAATGACAAAGATATCATATAAAAAGTGAACATATTTTCAAAACCTTAATATGCCATTGGGTTTACCTTTGAGGACATAAACGTTGGTTTTAACCAAACATAGGGGCATTGATTTTTTTTTCTAAGAAACTGGAGTTTTAATCCTCATGAAATAGAAAAAAAAAATTGCAGACCCTTACCCTATAGAATATGTCACTATATATTTTGAGTTGTAGGCACTGGGAAATGACAACAGTCCCATTCATCGGAGCATAGAGAAGAAGGGGGATTGGTGAAACTCCCTTGACCAAAATAATGATGAAAGTTTTCTTCCAAGCTTTCTTCGCCGATCTAACCCCTAAATCACTCCTCGTTATTGTCAATCTCGATTGAAAAGTTTGACTACGACATAATGGAATGGAATTGTGGGTTTAGAATTCATAATTATAGAATGAACTTTTAACTTATCCTTTATTTATTTTTTTGACCCTTAGGGCTACATTAACACTATCCAACAGAATAGTTTCGTTAGCCATGATTATATTGGTAGATGAAATTTTCACCCAACCCACCTTTTATCAATCCTAATCAAGGTGTATGGATTATCCATGCTAAATGGTACTCCTTAAATGAGAAAACATACAATTATCTCATTATATTCCATATACATAGCTAAGAAAAAATAATGACTTAATCATTTAATCTTAAGGTTAGTGTAGAAGGTTGCTTCAGATTAGAGTCAAATTGAAGAACCACCCATTGCCCTACCATTTATTCCTAGAAATATCAGGGAATCCTTCTTTTTGAAAGATAAGAGCTTGATTTTTGGAGTGCTTGCAAAATAGGAAACCTTCTCGTGACCTTTTTCTATCGGTAGAT